AATGCCTAAAGCCCCAATCCTGTGCAAACTTCTTGAATGACGCAGAAACGAACTGTGGTCCATTATCTGAAGTGACTTCTACTGGGATTCCATGACGAGCAAAGATGGACTTAAATTGCCCTATCACAGCATCTGTCAATATGGGGTGCTGTGTGTACATTAATGAGGAAAAAAATGAACTTAAATGATTTTAGCATATGGCTGCAATATAACAAAGAGTGAAAAATTTAAGGGGGTCTGAATACTTTCTGTACCCACTGTATCTTTCATTTGTCTCAATATACATTTTAATTCCATGCTTAGTTAGAAATTGTGAGATTGGCAGCATTATTGGAACACTCATGAATGTGAGATTACCTCAGGGCGCTGGCGAGCAGAGATGTCTGGATTATAATCCAGCCGTTTTTTAGGAGGCTTGAGCCCCAAGCAGCAGCAGTGAGCAGGAAGAGGAGGAGGAAGAGAGGAATAGGAGGAAGGTGAAGATGAGGTGAAGGAGGAGAAGCAGTGGTGACATCATGGGGAGAAACCAAAAACAAGAAACGTGGAGAGAGTGACACTCATTAGAGTCTGAGTAACCAGACATGGGCTAGCTCACAAACCTTGCACATGTGATTTGCATGTACAATGCACATATTAACACATTCTATACACACTGAATACTTTTACTGGCAAACACAAGCATACACACATATAATACATGCCTGTTCATATGCACATTCTGTCATTTATTGCTGCTTTATTTCTATGCTAATTGCAAAACAGCAACATTCAAACTTCAGTATGTTTATGTTAATCCTAAAATATGATAGGCCTAACAGAAACATCTCTTTATACTGCACACATACACACAAACTGTAACCATATACTACATACGCATGCAGAGTGTGAGAGCAAGCTGTGAAGCAAAAGCCAAATGAAGCACAAGCTGTAGTGTTGTGTTTAGTTGAGAGAGCAATAAATTGCACTACCAAAATGCTATGATTAAGTGCTGCTTTACTTGTGCAGATAAACTATTGTTCACTCAGTCAATACATCTTGTAACTTTGTCACCTCAGTAAACACTTAACATACTGTGAAACAATGTTTCTGCTGACCATCTACATTCTAAGGGCTTATTCAGTGATGTGAAACATTCAGAATCAGAATCTGCTTTATTGGCCAGGTGTGTCGGACATTCTGAATATTGCAGGTAGAAATCTCAACACACAGCCCAACATGACTCTGACAGCCACAAAGTCTTGGCAGCTCTATCTGTGACATTTTCACCTGAACATTTGGAATAAGCCCAGCAAGTCATCACTTCATGTCATGCTCTGGCACGGACAGAGGCATGTCCTTGTGGCACTTTGTTTGCATATCGGGTAATTTGATCTCAGATCTGTGGCTAGAACCGATTCGTGCCCTGAGCCACTGGGATATTATTACCAGCTGCATCCAGCAGAGGGCTCTAAAGCCACTTAGCTTGTTGATAGCCACAGCACTCCTGCCACAAGTGAAGATAAACAAAATATTAGCAGAAATGAATGGATGATCACATGAATAACATGCTAAACAAAAAGGTTGATTAATTGATGCACATGCTAGCATGTGCAAGAGATGAAAATACTCATTGTTATGCAGAACAAAAGCATAATATTTATGAACAAGAGCTGCTTAATTAATTTCCTGCTAAACTGACTAGGTACTCACTGCGGCCTAAATGCAAGGTCTTTTAAGTATATGGACCACACTAGCTTTGAACCTATTTGCCTGCTAATTTTGGGGCAAAAACAATGCAAGAGTCAACCAACTAAAACAAAAATGTCCAGGTTTGTGGGGTGCCTGCTAGCCATCAGACCAAAACAAAGCAATACAAAGACATAACACAGCATGTCACAAGGGTGGGGGAATATGGGAGAGGGAGAGTTCACAGCACCCAACAAGTACCACATGCCCACACAACCAGCCTCACCCAATCTACTGACAGAAACAAAACAAAAAAAAATCATAGGTTGAGTGTAGAATGTGGGTGTATGCCTATGACAGGGTTGTGACTGAGGGAGTAGCTATGGCCCTGACTTACCGGCCGCCCAAACTCCAGCTCGGAAAAGAACTTATACCAAGGCTCGTTCTCTAAATCTATGTCATCATAGGTCTGGGAAAGCATGACAGTGACAGAGAGAGGAGGTAGAAGAAAAGAAGTGTGGAGAGAAGTCATACACAAAGAAAGACATGGAGCTCATGGTTAGGAATGGGCAAAGGAGGCACATGGAGTTGGTGACAGGATGAATCATGATGAACTTTAAGGCTGTCTCACTGGGTCAAAAGTGATAATGAAAAATTCATTTACTTTTAACACATCCCAGTGAGAAGTGCTTACTTCACTGCTTTCACTGACTGGACAGTCATTATAACACAGGAAATGCAAACTACTGTACATTATTTGGTAGGCAGATTATGAGTGCCACATTATCAGACAGTACTAGCACCTGTATACACACATGCAGTCCAACACTTGCCACCATTGAGCATTTAAAAGAGAATTTGCAGAGAATTTGAATATGTTGGCTCCTCTATAATGCAACTCATTAATTTCTTATGCATTAAACATTTTAATCCCTTGACGCAGTCACACTGCCACTACTTTATTCTCCAACTTAAGGAGTAAATGAGAACTAATGAAAATCAGCATTTTACTTTGAGGATTACATATTTAACACCCATTCTCAATACACACACCTTTGTGCAGGCTCAGAGGATGGCATACTAATTACTGCATGTCAGAGTGGCAGAGAAAGACGGTTCTCACCAGAAGGGTTAATCGCACTTAAGATAAAAAAGAAATGGCATGTATGAAACAGTGGTTTGGAAAAGGGATTATTCACTTGGAGTTAAGTTTCTCTTCTAGACTGGTGGGAGTATTATGGTATCACAGTCATCCAACCAACTGACCCAAGTGCTAAGTTATCCCCATCAGTACAATGGACCCCAACGTGTCTCATAAAGGTAGATTAACAGGAAAGGAAAAACAAATTTATTTCTGTTGATGTGACATGATAGAGTTGACACCAAGCTCTTTTCTTTGTATAACAGAAAACAAATCAACCTGCAATAAATATTTACATGCAGTGAAATAGGAAGATAATCCAAGACACTGGTTACTGCTGCGTAGCAAGTTAATCATAGACTCTTTTCCATTGTGTTTAAACTTCCACAGACAGCTTTCACAGACTTCAATGTGACTGACAAGAGGGTGTTATTTTAACTGTAGAGATGATGCAGTGGTTCACTACTCTGTCTGCTCTTTGTAACCCCACTCCCACCTGGAAACAGTTTTCACACAAAAGGCAGCACTGACAGCTGTAGGTGCTGTAGTGTTGCATCTCTCCTGCTAAAAAGAGAATTCAGCTTTGAGACAAATGAGTCACACTGTAAGAATGTAAGGCCTGCAGCAGAGACTACAAATTACACAAGTACTGTAGACACACAATAAAAAGGAACTGAAAAAACAAAGTGCCAGAAAATGTTTTTCTTCTTATGGCTCCTAATTGCCCTAATGGACACCTCACCACAGAACAGGATGGTTTTTGGTGCCATTTGTTACCTTGGAGAGTGCAGAAAAAAGGTACTGATCAGGCAACATATATAAGGAGTCTCAGACAGCAGAATAGCCAGCGTGGGTTCACTTCTACTTTCTCCTTTTATAGCTTCTGTCTATCTATCTTGACTCATGCATTGCCTTGGGAGGGCTCTCTGCAGACATCACATTAAACACTTGTGAAACCTTCACAAAAGCTTGTCTTTTTAACTGTTTTCCCAATATAACAGACTCCTCATCTAGAACACATTCTCCATTATCCTCCCTTTATCTCACATAACTCATGTCTGTTATTTTTTCCCTCCCTGTACATAGTAATTATCTCCACTATCTGCTCTGTCATTCACCCCACACAGAGTGAACAGCCAGTATAATGCAGTCACTAGAGCATACGGTGGTGGAAACCTTCGTCTCTGACAGACAAGACTTCCACACAAAAGCCCATTATATGAAAATATATTTATAACACAGTGATGTATACAAAGACCACAGCAGAAATGTAGGGAGTTATTGTGTTTGTGATTCTCTTCTCAATTCTACCAGCCAGTTGTTTTTATAGCTCCATCTCTGCAGTGTTGTTTCACTTCATGTTGATTAATGTTGCTTACCTCTTCAGAAAATGACCTTCTATTTAGTCTCAAAGCAGCAAAAAAAGAAATCTTTTCTGAACAGTAACAAATGCCGTTACAAAAAACATAGAAAAACACATGCTGAGCCGATTCCACTTTTGTCTGTACAGGCCTCACAGGTTAATCAAACTTAATGGAAGGCAGTACAGTATAGGGCTAATATATTTTTATTGAATTTTGAAAGGGAAAGTGTAAAAATTCAATATCATCAAGTGAAATAACATTTTTAAAAATACTCACTGGTCTTTCATGCTCCAAAATGGAGGACTTCCCAGGCTCATATTCAAAAATACTCTTGGGCTCTGCGCGGTACTTTCGCGTGTCCACTTTTGTGTCAGGAGGACCCCATTCATTCCTGGTGCAATAAAAGGAAAAGTGTGAAAACAGCCTGAAGTTACATTAGTTAATTATTTCATCCTAATTGTTTGATCATTGTTACAAAATAATGTGAATAAGAAAGTTAATTTGAAAAGTACATAATGAATAAATAAATAATTCACATTTATTAGTTAAGTACAAGAGACTTTCCACTTTAAAAATATGTGCCAATATTTTCTTATTAACGACATGTAATAAATGACAGAGTTAAGTTCCTCTTACATGTCTGAAGAGTCTTTATCGCGGTCACTGTCTCTGGCCCTCAGCTGCAGGAGGGACGGCATAGGTGGAGGTGGTGGGGGTACAGGGGATGGGCAAGGCTCCCGAGGCGCCAGATGCCCTCCATTGTCTGAGGGGCTTTTTGACAGAGGCCTGTACGTATGGGTCCGAGGAGCGGGGTGAGCCATGGCGGCGCTGGACGATAGGCTGTAGTCATCTGTAACAGACAGGACAGAGGAGACTAAATGGAGGAGATGTAATGAGGCAGAGCAGGGCAGGGATGAAGAGACTAAATGACTTATTGTATGAAACAACTTCAGCTGCACATAAAGCAGGTCTCACCATTGTTTATGACAGCGTACGTTGCACTGTATGTGTCAGAATAGTCATCGTCTGTAGAAGAAAGGAACAAATGTGATTGGGATAAAATGAAGATGCTAAATAAGGCAGAGGTTTGTACTTTTCTCCTAAGGGAGAACGGCACCTTTAGTCGACTTAAATACAGTCAGTTACAAAATAATTTCCAATAGTGACCATTTATTTTTCACAGTGGAAATAAGTTTCAAAATAACCCAGGAGGCAAAGTCCGCTTCTCTTGTCTCTATCACCTTGTTTCAAATTGTTTTTCCAAAATGGATCTTTTTTTTAGCTTTAAAAGTCCCCCACAGACACAGTGTATTAGAAACGTACAAAAACAGACTTTTTATTGTTTTCTGCAAATGAGAAACCTACATATTTTCTTCAGTCAACTTTTCAGGCCTATTGGGGAGATACTGACAAGGTAGACTTGTGTGGGGCTGGAGCATTGCTCTATAAATCCACTGAAACTATATGAATATTCAGGGAGCCATGGGAATTCTCTGATGCATACAAAGAAACAATACAGGCCTGTAGATGTTTTTAGGCAAACAAATCATGAAATAGTGTGTGTATGTGTGCTGTGGTAGTGAAAGCCTGAGCAGCTCAGAACAAACAAGCCTTTTACTGATTATAGGATTCTGTCAAGCCCACAAAATTAGAACAGATTTCCCAGGACAGCTTTGTGTCTATTAGAGGTTTCTCTCAATTTCTCCCCTTCTTTAGACTCTCCTGCGCACATCTAATGAGTTCTGGCTCTAAGGTTCTTTAGGTATTTTGGTTTAACAGGAAATTACACACAATGATACACACATACAAGCAATATGCAAGCATGAGCAATTCCAATCACAATGTCTGATGATCAAATCACAACAAATCATGGGGCATTTCTGCCTTTCAGTGATCCAGTACAGACTTACCTGCTTTGTGAACCCTGTGGATCTGTTTGAACATAGTTTTGTACCAGTCCTTAGGCCTATCCACTGTCTGTAGAGAGAGAAATAATCATAAAGATTTGTGTGCCGTGAAATGCAAATTGGATTACTGAAGTAAGAAAGTGGAAAGGCTTCTCACTGTTTAATGGCACGCCAGGAAGCAGAGAAAACCACAATCTCAGCTTTTCTCAACATCCAGATTTCACTCAGAGATTTAAGCTTATGCTAAGACATGAATAAATTATTTATAAAAACTTGGTTATTGTATTTGGAGACAGACACTCTTCATACTGTGCTACAGAAGCACACAGTAGGATGTGTGTTTGGATATCAGCTGGCAAAACGTTTCCAAAAGAATGGATGATGGAGATCTAATGTATTTTTCCCTTATCTCCCCCTAATCACCAACATTTTCTTTAACTCAGAAATAAGTCACATTACAAAAACTAAAGATGCCCTAGTTTCCATTTTGCTGTGACTTTAAGAAAAATAAAATACATGTTCTATTCAATCACTGTATTCTTTCTTAATATTTAGTACATGATTTTTTTGTGTCCATTGGTCAGTCTAGGGCATTATCTCAAAATCTGAACGTGATTAAAGGGCATATTTCAGCTTTTAAACAGACCCAGCGTACAGTACACTGCCACAATATCCAAACATATAGCCAACATAGCCATGAAAAGATACAACAGTGATACAGTCACTTGGTGTCTGTTTTAGTTTGTATGTGAATGTCTATGTGTTAAGTTGGAATGTGATTTTGCTTACTTTCAGAAATTAATGTCAGCAGATTTGATTTTGCAGCAAAGCGGAAGGTGTTGCTACAGAGACAAAAACTGGGAGCTCCTGGCGCTGAGGTGAAAAAAAACCAGAAGAAACCCTGGTATGTGTGTTCTTGTGTATACAGTATACTGTAGATCTAACAGCCACTTTAAAAGTTGGAGAGACTCAATCTTCTCTTTATTCAGTAGCACTAAACAGTGTCTGGACTAGTTAAGAGAAGGTATTTTGGCTTCACAGAGAAGGAGCGTGTATGACTGTGCATGTATCACTGGTACACCAGAGAGACAGGCCAATTACCACTTCACTCTCCACGGTTACCAAACAGCGTGGCCACAAAAATGTTTGTCTGCTCACAACAAGGAGCATCTGTTTTTCTTCTTTCCTGCATTTTTCTTTTCACCTTTGCTTTTAATGTCCATCTCTCATTCTTCTCATTTCTCTTTCTCTCATTTTGCAGTTTACCATGTCTGCCTAAATGTCTAAATGGAGTAACACACATAGTTGGACAAGAAAGAAGCAAGGGCCTTGCAGCACTAAGCAAAAATCTTGTCTGAGTTCTTCATAATTAGCACAGAGAGAAAGGGAGAGTGAAAGAAATACTTAAAGAGAGTGAGGGAGTAAGGGCTTTTAATATGGGGTCAAGAACTGCTGACAGCTGACAGTACAGTAATCCCCTCTCATGAGCCTGATCACCTATCAACTGGAATGGGTTAAAAGACACCCCTGGGCTACACTACAGTATGTAACTGAGTCAGCCTGCTGCTGCAAACCACTGTGTTTGGTTCTGTGCATGCTTGACCTCACCGTGCGGATGGCGATAGGAATGCCAGACTCGTCCACAGGGCCAATTCCTTCATAATGAGGGGCTTTAATGACAGACACCTTTTTTTCTTCTTCTGAGAAGCGGGCAATGGGCACAGTGCTGCTGATGCTGGTGTGGCCCGACACCACAGACTCTCTCATGATGGACTCGCTGCCCTCTAGGTGCAAGAAGGAAGAGGGAAAGTAATGTCAGTTGTTCCTAGAACAAGTCACAAATAATACCACCACAATTAAAAGGTCCAGTCTTCTGTATTATATTTTGTAAACCTTACCTATAAATAGACTGGTATTCTCTAAATAACCCTTACCTCTTAAGTTAATATAAATAAGATAAAGCTTTCATTGCCAACACTGAGATTAATTCACACAGATCCAGTGAGTGATTACACATTCTTGAAATTCTAAGCACTTCAGAGTATGGTATATACAGTATGATACACGACAACTAAAAGTATATTACTCTTATTATACTGTACAGCATGGTCAAGATCCAGCTGCAGTTCCAATTACTGTATAGTTCAGACTGTTTGTCCTTTCATAAAGCATGTTCTGTGTCCCTCTGCATTGAGATGCCCTCTGGGATAGTTGGCAGTTCTGGATTAAATGTGCATTTTTATTTGTGCTGTATATGAAATGCAGAGCAGTTCTTACCCTAATCATGCATATGGATAATTTAAACTTCTCGTTAGTGAGCAGACATCACTAAAGAACTGGTTGAAAAAGTTGCAGTATTCTTGGCTCCAATAAGTGGAAAAAAAAGTGACTCACCTGAACTCCTGCTCTGTCTCTGGAGCCCCGTGTGGAGTGAGGCAGGGGGTGGAGGATAGGATGGTGGAGAGAGGGGCCTTTGTGGATGGTGAGTACTTCCATTCATGGCATGAGAGAGGACCTGGCCCTAAGGGTGACCCATAGGCCAGAAACAGCAGCAATAAGACACTAACAATCACAAATGGCAGCAAAATGTAGGTCAGTGCACAATCTTGTAGATCTACCACAAAACACTGAGTGAAAATGTTAAAATAAATCAAAACAGCAGAATGAGTCTGTAGAACCAACATTAGTCATCTTATTGCTACAAACATTCATAGGGGTAGAAGAAACCAGGTCTGATGTAGGAATGGATGTACATTTAGACACACATTGAATCTGACATGATTCACAAGAAGTGTTGACTCTGAAGTGAATGCACAATGTACAAAAAGTTAGTGAGGGAGAGGGGCACTCACTGAATCACTTCACTCTAAAACCGAACAACAGAGATTAAAACACTGACAATTAACAAGGACAGCTCTTTCACATTCACATACATTTCTTTATAAATATGTTGTGACATAAACAAGACAGTGGGTATGATACAGTTAGAATGGGAGGCTCTTCTGAGGACTGCTCTACCATTTAACATGACACAAGGACATATGATTTCATCTGACAAAAAATAAAAACAGTATTTAAATTTAAATGGCTCCATGTTCAGATCAAAGATTCACAACCGCTTAAAAATCAATAACTGCTTGGCAAAAATGCCAACACAACCATTTTAAACGGATCAATTCACCATAAAGCAACAAGTAAACACTGTTTACTGTCTACATGACAATTATTGCTGGTGTATCCTGTTCCTATTCTTCCTATTTCTAACTTCCTTGTTTAGTTGCTGGATATGGAGCAATCACAGTATGTAGACTGCTGCTGCTACTGCTAATATTATAATACCACAGCTAACAATCTCAAGCCAAGGTTCTGAGGCTGGCTATTATAATGTAGCCTGACCCCAGACCTCTGGGTCTAGCACATCAGTCAGCAGTTGCATTGTATTGTCTCTGTTCACTCCAGGTCTCCTGGCCATCAAGCCAAACAATCCAATCAAATGAGAAAGAGTTTCAGTGCTTGGTGTTATTCTTCCACACGTTTCAGTGCTTGGTGTTATTCTTCCACACGTTTCAGTGCTTGGTGTTATTCTTCCACACGTTTCAGTGCTTGGTGTTATTCTTCCACATTTGCAGTTCTCATCCTTAGTCTCACTTACATGGGTGTTGAATGCCTTGGTTGCTTTTCCAACCATGGAAGTATTCATTCACAAGGGCAACTCCTGACTTTTGAAAACATTCAAGAGAATTTGAGATGTGGTCAGTGACTCAGAGGTCTGGAGCCAGGCTACATTATAATAGCCAGCCACAGAACCTTGGCTTGATTTTGTTAGCTGTGGTATTGTAATAGTAGCAAAAGCAGCAGCAGCAGTCTACATACTGTGATTGTCATTTTGCTCCATATACAACAACTAAACATGTAGACGATAAACACCCATAGTCTAGAGATGTACCATTCTCTGTCAAGGATCCTTCCCTTACTGCTATTCTCAGGAAGAAATACATGATATTTCAGGAAACACAACCAGTTCGGTCCTCACAGACGTTACATTATAAAACTTCCAACTCCCAGTTCAATCATTCAAATTGATAACACCCTGCCAACAGCTTCCAACAGGGACTTCAACTGCTGCAACATCTCTGAAAAATGTGCTGTCATGAATTCTTGATATGAACTGGCCTTAAAAAACCAAACAATTGCACTGAATTGCAAAAAAGAAAAGAAGAAAAAAGAAACAGACAAGCACTCACAGACATGGAGCTATAATGAGTACAGACACATTGACATAATAAGGGAACATAGTGGGCTCAATGTAATTCTGGATGACAGTTGATTGTTAATGGAAGGTAAAACTTGGTAGCAATCACACATTCTGCAGATGTTTGGTTCAGCCATCCAAATGAGTTGCGGCACAAGGGGAACCATTTGTTTCTGGTAATGATGTGTGTTACAGGAGTGACTCATTGGGATAATTACATTAGTGACAGCAGCTGCTGCAGAGGTGAAGGCCACAGAGGCTGTTAGCACATCGTCAGGGCCAGCAGTGGATGTGTAGACAGAGACAAAGCTGAGCGTGGGTGACGGTGTGGGTGAGGTGCCAGGTGAGTCCAGGCTACAGATCTGCAGCTCATCCATCAGACCCGCCGTAGACGACGAGTAGTGGCTGAGAGCTGACACCGTCACAGGAGAAGCTGATGGCGACAGGAAGCCGCCGGTGCTCACAGTGCTGGCAGCGGTAGGGCTCAGACCGCTGATCACACCGGCTGTGCTGCCACCTCCACTGGGAACATACGGGGTGGGTGACAGTGCCTTGGGCATTAAACCTGACAGGTAGTCGAGTGATTCTGAGCTGTGGCAGCGGTAGGGAGAGTGCCGTGCTGAGGGGTCGGGGGAAGAAGGCCCCTGTTGTGTTGGAGGGAGAGGGAATTGATTGGAAAAGGAGGAAAAGGGGAGAGTGCTTAGTGATTACACTCATTAGCCGCGTTGTGACAAAGGATGTGTGGAAGTAAAACACGAGCCTAACAGAAGGTGAAATGTAGAGTGAAACCACACTCAAACGTGATGAGGCCGCAGCGTCATCCAAGATTAATGTTGTGAATTGAAGAGCTTCTGTTAGTTCAATATCTGGAAGGCAGAAAAATATATAGACGGTAACACAGGTCCACAATAAATGAACCACCTATCACATGTAAGAGTTCATATGTAAAATTTGTTAGTTTTATTGGCTGAGTAGCTGCACCAAGACCAACAAACTAAAGGGCGACACACATAAGCAGCATGTGAAGTGCATCAAAACATCTACACCTGTCTTCATGGAGCGCCAATGTTCCCAGAATTGATATGGGTGATCCGAGTGGTCACTTTACATTGTGGCTATGTTACAGTGACTATGTCTTCGGTTTCTGTGGCATGTCCAGTGTGCGCTATGGGCATCAAAAGACGTGATGCAGCCGGTGTGCTACTCTTTAATCACTCTTGATGCCACCAAGAGAAAATCCCAGCAATGTTGTGATATAATGGCCTGAACACATACACAAGTACTGCTTTCTTTTGCTATGATTATGGTATGTAGTCAGTTATGTACCAAATATTCAGCATGAGCAGGTCTTGGTGGAACTGCAGGAGGAGGCTTCATCATCTCCAGCTGGGAGGGAGCCGGACCTGGGGTTTGATATCGGGCTTGATCTGAAAACTTGAGTTCCACAGAGGGATTGGGAGGCTGAGGCTCTGGATTTTTCAGATTCTCTGAGCCCAAGTGAACAGAAAGTGAGGCTGTCTGTGTTGAGGACTGAGAGAGAATGGGACACCTTTGTGGAGGTGGAGAAGTTGGAGGAGGGCAACCTGTGATCTGGGTGTTCAGTTGGGGATTGAGGTAAGAGTTGAGGTGGGCAGGGGGATCAGGGACGGTGACTGGGGTTAGTTTGAGGGAAGACACCTTACGTGCTTGAACCTGTGTATTAATGATAGAAGATCCACTACAGTTGCTAACTTCATTTGAGACAGTGGACTGGTGTGCTGGTTGGACTGGGTTTCCACTGGCCTCTGAGTAGGAGTAAGAAGATGTGCTACTAATAGTGTAGGACTCTTTCAAAACTGCATTTTCATTCTGGGTGAACGTTAGTGTTCCAGGACTAAAATCATTAGACAGGGCAACAAGGGAGTTGTAGTCTGGTGGATTAGTGCCAGTGGGTGAGAACTGGAAACTCTCTCTCCTTGGGGGTGGCAATGGCACATGATTGATATCCTTGTTAGCCAATTAGAAAGGAACAGCCAAAAAAGATTCAAACAACAACAACAATAACAAAATTATTAGTGAAAAGCTTGATGCAAATCTAAATTAAGTTTTTCAAAATACACACTTGAAATACAATATGGAAATGATTCATAGTTATCATAGTTTCTGCCATTAAGAATAGCTTTTTCCACAGAAAAATATACAAGCTAATACAATTATGGCACAATTATTCTGATTAAACTATAAACAGCAGTAAAAAAATTAAAAATAAAAAATATGCCAAAATGTTGAAAGGTGTTTTTGGGGTTTTTTTTTTTTTTTTTTTTTTTTTACCTCTGTTGGGGACTTTTTGTCCTGTAGGTTGGGTCTGACACTGCGGAAGCCTTTGGCAGCAAGAGATGAGCTGCTGGCATCTCCGTTCTTCAGGCCATCAGTTGCACTGTGTGACCGCCAAGAGTCTGAAGATAAAGGTCATCATATAATCATCACACACTACAGAGTTTTTATTAGGTTTTCTGGTCTCCTGTGGGGTGTTTCACAGTTTCGCTTGTCATTTGTAATGTCAAGATTCTCCACCAGAAATCCACAAAAGAAACTGATACTTACCCAAGTCTGATGAGTGAGAATCACTCCCTGGGAAAAAGAGAAGACACAACAGCAAATAAATTCTATGAGTGAATGTGTAGTCACATTAAAAGAATCCCTGTAATAAATGTCAATAGGATTACATCTTAAGTAGTTACACATATACTGCCATCCCACAAAATGCTTGCAGGGATGTTTAGTGTGACAAACAGATAATCAAGGTATAGGGGGACACAGGTCTACAAAGGCACAGATGTAGTTGATGCGTTTCTGGTATTCAGTCTAGTCTTCTTGTTATAAATGGGGTGTAAAAAATAATCAAAACACCCGTCAGTATAATAAGATACAGCTGAATTACATAAAACCACAAACTACATTTTCCAAAATGATTATACAGCTGAAGCAACACCTGCCTAAAATAGCTTCAACAAAAACTTAACATTACCACATTCATGAAGGGAGGATTCATTGCAGAACTGTTTTATTAGACTCCATCAGTTTTACTTTGCTGTACTGATTAAGCTGAAACATTCCCAGTGATGTCGCCACAGCATTGCCACTGTAAGAAATATCTACACCACCAGATGACTGCAGATAGGCATTCTTTGTGTACAGTGGGTACAAATGTCATAGGAGATCATACTTTTTGGCTCTATTATAAAAATGAGTGAGGAAGGAAAAGGCCAGATATTTTTCCAGTTCTCCAGACGAAGCCAGTCACATTAATGGATGTCGGCACAGCAGAAGGATCACTGTGCATTCTTGAGGGTGACTGTGGTTTAATCAAACCTACCATGCTCCTAAACATGCTATATCTGAGAACAGTGCCCTAACACTGTCAAAAGGAAGCTGACAGTGTGACTACATGTGTGCAGCTGTTAACCTCGGTGCAACATAATACAAGCACAAACACTGCTCTTTCAGCACTGGAAAGGAAACAGCACCAGAGAACAGCACCAGAGGACAAACACAGTAGCTGTAGCCTCTAGAAGCCCAGGGTTATAGATCCAACTGTGCCCCTGTTATGTGAAAAGCTCTTTGGCTTTTCTATTTCAAATTACTCTATGTGTGAATATTAGAAATTTAAGCTAAAGAGTCTCTTAAGTATAGCAGGTTTACTGTGAGTATGCTTGTACAAAATTGAACCACTGATAAGGAAGAATTATACCAAAAGGTGCCATTTTACCAATACAACACAAAGGTGTATTTCCATATTTCTCCAGGAGCTTAAGCTCATGGTAGCTGTGACACGTACAATCAAACAATGCTGACAGAGCCAGGAAAAAAAACAGTGATTAAAACCTAGACAACAGAAAAAGGAGAATGAATAGTACATAGTAATGGTCAGGAGCAGTGTGACAACACGATATGTGAGATGTGTCAAAAGGAAGAAAGGTTAACATCAAAAATCAGCAGGTGCGAGGAAACATGTACGAAACAAGACTAAAGAAATGAAATACAAGAATTATACATTGAGCTGATGAGAAAAAAAAAATCAACATCTCAGTCTAAACACTGCTTAAGCATACTGAGGAAGTGAGAGGCTATTTGAACGCATTTCATTTCAAGCCATATCAGGTTGATGAAGCTCAAACATGAGTTTGCATAACAACTAGCCACTTTTAAAAGACTTATCTCATGTTCCGACCAACAGTTTAGCCCATTCAATACCAATAGTGTCTTTGTTTAGGTATTCAGTTTACTCTTCTTCTTTGAATCCATGTTAATTTGTTGCGTGTTGTGAGTGTTAGTTAGTACCTGTGTCTAGATTTGGTGAGCTCTGGACCCTCTTCATGGGAGAGAGTATGAGTGACAAGGCCACGCTTTTGCGAGTGCATCCTCCGCTATCTGAGGAATCACAGCCAGGCAGGTGATCATAGAGGCAGAAGCAGCAGCATACATGCACATGCACATACACAAACACACATGCACAAATGCATCCAGCCAGAAACATAACCCAACCAAGAAGGGGCAAAGCACATGCATTAAAGGAGCCTGGTTTTACTTTGGTAGATTTGGTGACAGTTCCTACAAAACAAGCTAGTGTACAGCATAATAACAAAAATGTACCTGTAAAGTAGAAGCTTGAAGATGCTGTGCTGCTTTAGTTTACATGACAGCAGTCTAACGGTTTCTGTCAGATACAGTATGCTTTAAGAGCATCTTAAATGGGATGATCTTGAATGCTTCTGAACTAGGTTTTAAATATCACAAACAGGTTGTTAATAGTAAAGAAATCACGTCTAAAAATCATAAAATATCAGTTTGACGACCTGCTGAAACACCATTAAACTGAAGACTCCGTCTGAACTGTGGTGAAATAACTTCACTACTCTTTAGCAAAACAATGTGATCTTCACAAATGTTTCCCAACAGAGTTTCCATATTTGTTCTCAGTGAAGAACCTGGGAAAAGTAGGTCTGTGAAAACTGCACTTCTGTAGCTAATACCTTTATCAATTTAACCTAAGGGGCAATACAGACAGTTTATAATCTAAGAGTCAAACTTGTTTTTGGTATTTCTAATTCCAGTAGTTATTATTCATTCAACAAAGCTTTTCCCACAAGCTATTTTTGAATTGTCTTCCACATTGTAAATATAGGCAAACACCCAAGATACCACTGGCAGCGACACAGGGTGGTGGTGGTGGTGGTGTGTGGTGTGTGTGTGGAGAGGGCTCAAAGATGGATTGCTCATCACTGATTCTCTGGCTGTTTCACGCACTTTAGCTCTGGATGACTGCCAAGTTTAGGACAGAGCTCTGGAAACGCATTGAGGGTGGAATACGTCACTGTGGCTACAAGTAACAGACTTTCTAAACTTGTGATGCTTTTAGTCACAATAACTGTGGCCCAAAATGGACCAACAGGGTCAGGGTTAGAGTTACAGACTCATATCCGTGGCAGAGGAAAAGTAGCAAACAGAGCAGCTTTTAAAATAGCTAGGTGGCCTGAACTGAAAAACATAGATGTTTTTATTTTAGAAGCCTTAAATGTAAACAAAGGTTTTATGTTCAGTGAATAAACAAATAGTGACAACTGGGGCTGTCACTTTTTATTTTAATTTCGAGGATTGGAATAAAAAAAATAATTCAAACTAGGGTTGCAGCAGAATACTGGTTTCACAGTATACCATGGTATAAAAATTGGTGGTTATCAAACCATGCACATTTGCTTATTACTGGTACTGGTTCTAAGCACAACAGGCTGTTTGATGTAATTTGCCTTGTCCAGAAGAGGACGTTCTTAAAATTCACCATCATCTTGACCAGTTACATGTCCTGTTGACCTCTCAGTAAAGTAAGCTAGTAACATGATGTTTACAAGGACAAAACATGGGACAGTAGCGAGCAAAGTTGTGCTGATCAGACAATAATGACACTGGAGCGGTGTCAAGGTAAATGATGTGCCGACTCTGCAAAAAAAGCAGAGGTCTAAACAAATACAACAACACATCTGAGGACTCGCCTTCAATCTCGCTGTCCGAGTGAGGCACTGAAGTTAATGTTAGCACAGACAAGTGGAGGAGTGTCTATTTTACAGCCATGACTGACTGACTGACCTGCCCCTGCCGTGTTGCCCTGAAGGAGACTGGAGGGACAAACGTTGGCTAAACGTTCTGAATACAGTCAGGGGAGATTCAGTCAAATTAATTTCATGTTAGTTCCAACAACGTTCAAATGTGATTTTTAGAAAAAGTGACAACACAACCATTCAACTTTGCCTAGCATAAATAATGGACACAGACGGATGGACAATCCCCCCCGAGTGTCATATATGGTTTGTGTGTGTTTGCATGTACATACCTGTATTCATTTTGAAGAACACTTCTTACTGATCTACTGCAGGGTGAAACACCTTCCTGCAAAAAAAACAAACAAAAACACTTATCAGAATAAAGGCTATTGTCTTTTCCAGTCATCTACATGAACAAAATCTTTTTGAGGCTGCTGCAATAAACTGTTATTGCAATTAAGAGGTTACCTCAGTTTTACCTGGTGTTAAATCTCAACTATAGGTAAATAACTGACAGTTTTCTGCTGCCTACTAGGTCATTAGATTTACTTTTACTCTAATCATACGGTGCCAAAATCTCTGTTCATGGACTATGGAGACATGAATTATGTTTAGTAGCAGGAGTCAAAGGCACAATACGGGCTGTTGCAGTGTTATGTGTGTGTCATCATGGGAATTAGTGTGTGACAGATACTAAAAGTGACAGTCCACAGTGGCTGTACATGTTACCCTTGCACACATGTACTGTAGAGAGAATATGATGAACACGATTTTCTCCCATGGAATATTCTTGTTCATTACAACACCACCAGTAATCTGACAACTGCAAATGTTATCCTGAACAATAAGGTTATTTACCGGAGTGCAAGATGAGTTTGCATGTCCAATTCAACCTGAATCTTTTAAAAGAATATTTTAATAGTGTTATTCTCTTTATATTTAGCACATGCCCAAATGCTTCACCTATGCCTTCTTCAGCACACCAACTGAGTCAGTCTCTAAAAAGTGATGCTTAATTACATATAAATTCTAAACACAAATGGCATTTACACTACACTATGTAAGAATCTGCACTACATATGAAAGCTGACTAACCATGTGAGTAAATATGTAGGTGAGCAGTTTGCATGTGAATATTCCAGTTTGTATTTTAATACAGAATACAGTAACATTTCATTTAATCATATATACAGCTACTAATATTGCTTGTGGGACTACAAGCCATGAATTATGGGATACTTTCAGTCCCTCAAGACCTGAACCTTACCCTCATACAGCACACACACTCATAAATCTATCTCTGAGAAACACATACACATGCTTCGAGGTAAATCATGTGTCTGGCGTTGCAGGCTGTCAGCATCCAAACGGTGGTCAAATTATAAACAGGATCATGTTTCTTTGGGACAGATTTGCGGCGACACAGCAGCTGTAGCCATGGTGCGATGTTATGGCTGGATACTGGTAGATAGACCAGGCTCGAGGCCTCAGATGAGCTCTGACTCTCACTCTCTACGGCTGGAGACTGGTCATTAACAGCCTATGCAATTCAGTGTGCAGATCATGGTATGTTAGAAAGGCACCAAAAGCTCCCTTAATATTTAGTGAATGCTTCTCCAAAATGTTAGCACTTAATGTACTACTTAAAAGAGAAGTAGGCTAATGGGAATAAATGTTGTCAGAAATGTTTGTAATAAAGAATTAACTTAAATGTCAATTCCTAGGATTCTTACTGAATGAGAACTAAATGTGATAGATAAATAAATAAGAAATATTTCCACTGTGGTATTTTAGTTGGTGTCCTAGTTTTGATGGCCAGAGCATTTGGTATGTTAAGTTCATTTCGAGTCACTTTATTTGCTTACTGTGCTGTGGTTTATCCACTGACTATAATTTAGGCATTGGTACTGTAGGACACTCTGGAGTCAAGTGTGTATATAATTACTGAGTGTAATAGCTGTGGGAATGCAGATACACAAGTCAGAGCTATAAGCTGCAGAAAGCCATGATGTGCAACACCACAAGCTCAGCAAGTCTCATTAGTCAGGTAAGTGACCCACTGTGACTCATTTCCTTTGTGTCAGCGGCCTTACAGAGTTAGAGGACTGAAAACTTGGAAACCTAAGGCACTGTAGTAGCTGTGCTAGGAATCTCAGCCTCCTGTGCTTCTGTATTAGAAGGACCTAACTGTTGACTTGCGCCCATCCTCAGAGAATTTCCTCCACATCATGACACTGAAGACTTTTAATACTGTTGACCTTGACAAAACAGGCACAATTTCACTTCTGAAGACGTTAAATTGCAGTGAATACAAGAAAATTTCCATGTGTAATCTGTCTGTGTGCACTATTTAAACTGTTTCATAATCAGAGCGGAGAGAGGACCTCAATATTAAAGCCCGTCCTCTTACTGGAAAACATTTCCTGATAACATGCGGGAAAAAACATGACCCAGACAGTGTGACCAAGAGAAAGGCAACACAAAACGCAGGAAGAAAAAACACAAACATGTTCACAAAGAACACTGGCCGGGATGCCATTACTCATTGGCAGCCTTCCTTAGCACAGAAAAAAACAAGCATCCAGAAAAAACATGTCACCATCCTTCCATGAGAACAATTAGAGGAATGAAAACATGAGCAACAGTAGTAATAAAGACATTCCCAAGCAATGTTTAAGCTTTTAAAATCTTCTGGCTACAGTACAGTTCTAAGGATTGTAGTTCATGTTGCGTTCAAGTTAATCAGACCATCTTACCCTGCACGTTAGAAGTCATACAGACTATCATAGAGACCAGGCCCTTATTAGAACATTGCTAACACTAAATAAATGCACCATTACAAAATAATTCATGCTATGAGCAAACAGAGAAAAAAATACTGTACATCAGTGACTATATAAATAAGCCCATAAATTGTAAAATTATTTAACAAAAAAAAAGCTAAGATTTTTTCAATTACAGCTATTTACATTATATCAAAACACTATATTTCAGAAGTATTTTAATCTTAGAATGTCTTTTTTTTTAAAGCTTTAACACACCCTTTTTTGTGTGTGTACATATTTGTGAAGTCAGCAGAAGAGAATGAACATTGACTGAAAAAGCCGTCTATGGCCTCAGGAGTCCTGACCCTGAAGCGGTCACTCAGACTGAGACATACAGGATGTCAACAGACTAAGCTCCCTAGAAAATCTATTTTAAGACCAAACAAAAAAGTCACCAAATGGACATTTTCTATGCAGTCGTTAGCTCTTGCAAGCTAAAAAAAAAGAAAAAAAAGAACATGCTGTCAGAAATGGACACTAGGTGAATTATTCTTTCTCTACAGTGAACATCAGGTAGAAGCCTGGACTCAGGACACTGATGAGGATAAAACTGAAGTGCAATGCAGAGCAATCAGTACAATCTCACTGTAGGAATTAGAACAAATCCATTTTCCACAGGATCTCCCTGGTGATCTGACATATTGTAAGTCTCAGCTGAGATTTGCTAGCTAGCCTGAAACCCAAGTGACAGGGAGAATGACCCCCCTCCAAAAAAGGCAACATTTAGAAATGCTCCACTCCTTAATTACTGAATTTGAGCAAAGTTATTTTTGTGGTGTATTTCTGTGGTAAAAATGTGGGGCATGCAGGGCTGTGACAAAAAGAAAGGCTTTAGAACCAAAATAAGAGTCTAAGGAATTACCCATTTTGCTTTAAGTGGACATTGCATTTTACAGCTTCAAGCATTCTAGTACTATTCAACTTACTAAGTCTTAATGCTAGACATCACATCAGGCAAAGAAGTAAAAAAAACAAACAGTATATAATTAAGTGCTATAATACAACAACACAGGTGAAGGAAAACTGTGGAATAACACTGCGAATTTCAGGAGATTCCATTCACATCTTTCTTCATTTTATATTTTAGAGTAAGTCATCAAATGCAGACACTCTTGATGCCAATAATCCCTTACTTACAGCTACTACAAGCAGAAGAAAGTCCTGGAGTCTCTCAGCAGTAGAGCATTACATCAGCAGCTGCAAAAACAACTCATCACTTATCTATCTATATATCTATTCCCAAAACCTCCTCTTTGGACACGTTAATGAATTAATATTAGCTTAAAAGTCAGTCAACTTGCTCGAGCATAGCTACGTATATAATACAGCAGATCTATTCATCTTGATGATATATTAATAAAAATTTGGTTCTTCTGATTTTCCAAGGCTGTAGTAATTTCAGATAGCACAAATTTTGGTACTTTACCCATCTGGGCACTATTGGACCATATAATCATCTGAATTTGTGGAATCTGCATTTCCGTACAAACAAGACAATAAACATGGTCAAACCAAGGTAAATGTCTTGGTAGAGTGTTCTGATTTAGTCATTCCAAATCAAATCCTGGAAAAGTCGACCAATAAGCCAAACCAAAAACAAACACAAGCAAACAAACAAACAAAAAAAAACTTTATAGCTCAATGGTTTCATTATGTAACAAAAATGCAGATATGTCAATATTAATTTGAGAATGTGACGGGTCCACATCAAGGTGCATTTAAGGACTTAAGCAATAAAGAGACATGTCAAAATCCTCTCTGAAGCGTTGGACAGGTTTTGCTAAAGGCTATACAACAAACGTTAGCCTGCTTATGCTTGAGTTGCCATTATTTTCAGCATTGGTTACTCTATATAAATATTTTTAACAATTCTGTGGTTTGTATTTGAATTTACAACAAATAACCCTGAGCATTAGTAGTTTAAGCCTCCAGACCATCAGCTATACAATAATTACTGAGCCAAAACACAATATAAATCAAATACTGTACATATAGGGGCGTTAATGCCTTAACACCTGAAAAACGTTTGATACAGTTCAGAACTAACAGTTTCCATCAAATGGGTCTTCATGCTAATGGCTGTTTTAAACCTCTTTCACACAAGTACAAAGCTACTTGTTACCTGCAGGTTATTTTATAAAGAAGGTTTTAACAGCGCCGTGCAACATTTCTACTGTCATAACTGCTACAGGTTGAACAGTAGCCACTAATGAAGTTTCTGTTATCAGCCTTGTTTGTTCAACCTTGCCACTCATTAGCAGTCCCCATTCTGGATGTATGAATAGATGGGGGGGGGGCAACAACAAAGGCCCATGTGTTCTGTAGATTGCATGACAACCCCACTAACAAGCAGAAGCCCTGGCCTGAGTGCAAGAGTGCAATAATGCAATTATGCAACACAAGCCCTGGTGCTGAGAGTTGAGGCTATGGGAGAAGAATGAATTGGATGTGACATTCTGGGGGTTCGTTATCTTACTGTTTCTAAGCAGAACTGAAGATAAATTTACTGCATACTGCTCTGATGCTCATGGGGAGGACAAAACAGCATGGACAAGAATTAAAAAGGAAGGCAAATGAAAACCACAGACGAAGAGAAAAATAAGTGAACATTACAGAAAGGAGGAGAGATTATAAAATCTGACGGGTTTTGATAAAGCACAAAATAAATGACATATTACTGAAAATAGAAAGAAGCCAACATTAGCATGTAGTGTTATGTAAGCTGTCGGACAAAAGTCATCCGGGGACACACAGCATCACCAATAAACAACTGCTCTAGAGCTGCCATGGTTTCATCTCCTCTTCTCCACGATGAGTGCACTGTATGTAGCGATCAGCTATAAAGGCTAGTGATTACAACACTATAGGGCCCCTAGCAACAAACCGAGACAAAGCTAATATAAGCACAGTTACTATCAGATGGCAGGACAATGTTACATGGAGCAGAGTGCCAAAGCAATTTCAAAGATGAGACGGGAGCCGTTTCTGACTAGACATCTAGCATTATGTATTTTCCAAATAGACTCCTCTATTAAACTTCTAACGACACGTCACACAGGTCTGTTAATTAGCAAGCAGTGCCATATCCAATCCGACACCTGCATATTACGGTATATACTGTTACCTGGATACAGTAGATTCTAGAGTATACAATATAAAAATCCTTCTGACTTGTACAAAGGTCTGACACCACAGACAGAAACTGTTATTCACTGCCATTCCAACTTACATTTTGCTTAACAAAGACATTATATGCTCTTCACTTATAATGGTTTTGAAAATCTAATGGAACAAATTTTTAGAATACCTTGTCATTTGAAGCAAGAGACACACTAAAGTAGAATAGCTATTAGCCGTGGCTAAGACTACATTCCCAATACATAGTCTGGATTCTCCAGGTACCAGCGTTAAGTGTCAAACATGAAGATAAGAGAGACCTGATTAGCAATGGTGCTAAATTTACTGCCATTAGACAGGACCCTTTACCCTCTAAGGGGGTCCAGAGCAGCAGGACAATCTATTTGAGGAACCTTTATGCACTCTGCGTGTTAACATGTTTAATTCCTAAAACTCAACCCAGGGTTAAAGAAAAAATGCTAATCTTTACAACCCAAGAAATGTCTCGCAGAGGCAGCAGTTTATATTTCTCATTATTTTGAAAATGAAAAATAAGTGGACTGCTTTGAGCAAGACCAGAACATGAAGACTTTGTTTACACTGCTATTGGCTGTGAAAACCTCCTTCCTCTGTAAAACTTTGTTAATATTAATGGTAACAAGCAATATTACAGCTAGTGAGAGTAAATGTGAACAAACATATTCTCAAAGACACATTAAAATATGATAGTATCTTTGAAGATATTTTGTATGTCACAAAAAAACCTGTTTACTGAGAGTATCACATGTGAGGCTGAAATTCAAGGGCTTTGTTTTTTCTATAAAGGCACCTTTGAATGTCTTTTGTACTGTACATCAGCTTTTAAACAAACACCCAGTATCAGGAAGGAATGCGGAAGAGGAGGGTTAAAACAAAGTGACAGGAACAAGGGAATTAAAGTGTTCAAGCTGCTGAAAAGTTAAACTGGTTATGCTCCCTGATTTGCACAGTCACAAACATGTTGTAGTTTAATCTAGAAAAAAAAATACATACATGTTCAAACCTGAAATTTTGGCATCTTTCCAACAGAGCAACTATGCCTTACGTCACGCCAATAAGTTTAATAAGAGCACTGTAGAGTTCTGAAAACAAATTGCTCTTAGTGGAATCAGAATCAAGCATTTATATGTATTAATAATGACACATTTACCTTAAAAAACAGGGTGTTCTGTGATATTTACATGGAGCAGACAAATTGCCTCACTGTATGTGTGGTCTGGGGGAAAGGGAACCAAGCGAACCGTCCTACAAACCGAGGCTGGAAACCACCCCTTACTGTGTACCCATGGGGTCAAGGTGACATTCCACAACACCTCTGAGACTGGCCTAATGGAGGGATTGGTCATGGCTTTTGTTGAGTGGGAAAGAAGAGACCATGAAAATGGATGTAACCGGAGATCAAGTATGTAAAAGGGATAGAGGGAGGAAAATGAGATTCTGGGTAAAATAATGGGAAGGTGAGAGGTACAGGGGGGAGGACAGGAAGTTTTGGGGACTGAACTGAAACTATCCTTGATATTAACTCTCCTGTTATCTAATTTTAATGTTGTCTTTTAATTACAAAGTACAAAAAGATTCCTTTCCAGTGAAGCTTCAATAAATCTGCTAGGGTTCACAAACACTTGTTCATCTTCAAAACTGTAATCCGAGTTATTTGTGGATACTTCTTCTGAGGTGGCTATGGTAAAAACCAGTGCTTTTATTTGACACCATTTCCCCTGTTCACTGTCACAAAAGACAAAAATTCTACTCTTGGTCTATAATTGTGGGTTTTGGCAGAACACAAATTCCCTTTTGGTGTTTAGGTGCTAAAAGCTATTCAGACCTCTTTTAAATCTGAATTCTCTTTAAAGGATTGTTCTGTTCATAGCAAGTAAACAGACACATTACAAAGGAGTAGACAAAACTACAGGATCTGTGTTTGTGTGTAATCAAACATGACTTTAAATAAAACATACAGATGTTCAAATATTATATAAATAATTTATGGATTAATTAAACCTGTACAAGTCAGTCCATAAACTGCTTTTAAAAATTAGAATTTAGTCAAGTTTTCCTGTGTTTTTTCATGAAAACACACAAAAGCACATTATTTACTCATCTTTTGTGATATTTAACACTAAAAGCCTGACCTCTGAACCAGCACGGTGCAGGTGCAACAGTTCATCAGACTGAGAACATGTAGCGCTTACCTTCATAAAACTAAAAGACTGGAGACTTGCTAAAAAGACTCAGGTACGGATGAGATCTGTGCACAAGCGTAGCTCCTTCTTTTTCCTTTTCTTCTATTCTGATTGTTTTTTCTTCTTCTTCTTCTTCCCTCTGCTCAGGATAAGTCTCCCCTCCTGGTCAAGCTTTATTCCCAGATCTTTCCCTGTTTAATGCCTGGGAAGCACAGAAGCAACAGAATGAGAAGAAAGTTGAAGAACCAGAGTGGGAGTGACAGGGGAAGAGAGTTCCCTGTTTGGGTGAAGCAGTGATGATCAGATACGGCTATTTTCAGACTAAGGCATGCACAAGTGAGGCTGGAAAGTTACCCCCCAGTGTAGACGGGTGGGGGGTAAGTAATGGGACTGACTATCTCTATTTTACCACATACACACATGCTTTCAACATGGTATGCCCTCTCATGCATGCAAAGTTATTTCTACACACACATTTGCATACTATACAAAAAAACAACAACACAGTCACATATATATATTGTAATGTCCACCAGGTGGGGGGCAGCTGTGGCATAGCGGTTCATCTCCTAACCCAGAGAGTTGGCGGTTCAATTCCCGGCTTCTCCGGTCCACATGTCTCCACACACCCATCTCTCCTCCTGGGCTTTATCATCCCCCTGTAGCCAATGTCGTCAGTGTGGGGCTATGTAAAGTGAGCTACTCCGCACAAAAACTGACAGGAGTGTCAGACTGTTCTCACATGAAATCTGTCTTTCACTTTCTCTTGCTGACAATTTGATGGTCAGGAAGAGCCACTATGAGATGTGCAAATGTGCACACATTCTCAAACATAACCCATTTCTCTTTTTATCACAAATAAGCCGTGTTCAGTTAGTGTCATACCAGGCGGTAAATATATTCAGACTAATTATATGCCCATCACCTGTGTCATTTATAATCTTACTGCTGTGTAATCCATAGGGGAATGTATATTTGGAAATGATCACACACATACACACACAGGCTGAGGTCAGCCAGAAGCACCTCCAGACCCCAGACTCCCTGCTATTCCCAGAATGATGATGTAACTACCACTATTAGCATCTCATATTTAGACCCTCGATACCTAAAACCAGCCACGCAGCTACTGTGCAGTATGCTATTTGGACCACTTCCACCATCACACCTGCACTCCACAATAAACAAAACAGGCAGTAACTTGCAAATTACTGTGTATTACGGTTCAGGAGAAGTTCAGCAATCACCACAAAAGGAAACTCATTATTAACTCATTAACTCATGTTTGGTACTGCAGTTCCATTAGTGGCAAATGGAGCTGATAAGGTTCCTGAGTGGTGAATTATTCTTTCCCCAACAACAGATAGCCAAAACATCTGTGCCTCTTATGTTTTGCCCATCCTAATTTCAACTTTTTCCAATGAAACAATAAGGTGACATCAGCTTAGCTCACTACCTTTTTAGACAGCACGCAAAACACTAACATAGCAAGTGGATCAAAATCAGTAGGTTTAACTGGGTCAGCAGCAATTATTTTAAACTGTATAAAGCCACAAAAGTACAGTAAAACGCTAAACTCAAGAACAAGTTCAGCCAAGTGTCAGCCTGTTGCCAACATTAAACAGAGAAGGACTTTGTGGAGATGTCAACACTAACTGTGTCCACTGTGCACCACTGGACAAATGATCATGTAAAAACCTCATCTACACAGGTATCGATGGCTCCACACTTTGCAAAGCATGAGTGACAAGAGCTCCATCGACATCTGAACTCAGCATCACCCAGAGTTTCTGATGTTGTTGCAAAGCTCATCCCTAACGCATCAAAACTAAGGTGTGTCCAGCTACAATGTGAACTAAACTGCCACACATGTACAAAGTTAACTGAAAAGTGAGTCACATGCCTACAAGAATAACAACAATAATGTCATTTGTGCAACAGTCACATAGCACAGTTTCCTCAAAAACTACTGGTTGAGAATAATGTTCATCAAAAGTAAAACCTCATCTCTTCACTGACCCCCGTCACTGTAGTTACTCTCCTTTATGTTTACTTTTACCGGTCCGTGAGAAGCTGACACTGAATGATGACGACAGGCAATATGTGCATGTGCAGAGTGAGACTATCTGACAGTGGTCACATGGTCAAATATCAAATCTAGGCTAAATCAGATCTAGGACAGACAAACAGAAGTGGCCTAGATCTGACTTGAAAAAAAAATGTAATTTGGTTTGTTTACACAGCTCCCCCTCCCAAAAAATGTATCTGAGTCACTTCAACAAGTAATATGAGCATAGATTTATATGAACTTTTAAACATGAAAGAATTAAAAAAAAAAAATTCACTAGCATGACACCGACATGAAGCAGCAGGAATGATCTCAATAAAGGATCAGGGCAAACTATTTTTATAGCAAGTGACACACACACACACACACACACTCAAACACATTGATAGTTTGACCTATGAGCCACTCTGGACTACAGTGGCGGCGGCGACGTGGTCTCGCTCGTACAGTTTCAACACCTAATTCATTATCAGTGTCTGGAAGGCCCTGCCATTCTCATTTAGGTAAGTGACAGGATATAAAAAGCAGAAGAGCTTTGCATGTACACCTTAGTCTGTCACTTGCTGTAAAGCAGTTAAACCTCAGAAGGTCAAAAAAGAAAAATGAATCCACATGTATAGTGTTGAACAGACACAACACAAATGTTTTGTTGCTTTGGAACGACACGGTGCAGAGGAGTATGAGCTCGGATCCACCGTGTCTTATGTTTACATGTAACTGACTAATACACAAGCGACTTGCAGTACAACTAAAACCGACTATAATCCCAAAAGGTTTAAGGCCTCTGATGTCAAACAAAAGTGTCTTAATCCCCACAGAGGAGTGTACACAAACAATTCAATCAACCACTGATGGAGAAACGCATTGCACAGATGGACACCTTTTCACTAACATCTCTACTAACTGCATGGTTGTTGGTACATACAGTACATGTATATTTGAAGATTTCAGTAGGCTAAATATAATTCACTTTAGGTTTTAACTGTGTAAAAATTCAAGTTCTTTTCTACTTTAAAGCACATGTAAATGCTAACTTAAATACACAATACGACTTGATGTTGTTAGCCACTTTTTATAACCAAATGGTGAGTTTTTCCACATTAACATTCATTGACAGACACAAAGAGCATTATTGTAACATCCTCTCTGGCTCAGTAAGATTGAATCATCACCAAGACCATTACCATCAATTTCCACTATCAAAAACAAATTATCTTCAGAAAAGAGAACTGGCTCAATAGTTTAGCTAAAAAGCCACAATCACCTAACAGCTCAGTAAGCTCTAAAGGACTTGGTCATTGAGAAGGTTCAGGGAGCAAACATGTCCTGCAGGCGGCCCCTATTATCAGTGAGGCTAAGAATTAGGCAAGCTTTTCACATACAGGACTTGAGCCATGACATCAGCCTGTGAAGGGGGGGATGATAAAGCAGCAGAAAGGCAGCAGAGGGACAGCGACAAAAGAGAGGGCAACAAAACAAGAAAATAAACAGGACAACGGAAAACTAAATGGAATGTGAGTGTGAGAGAGAGACATAAAGAGAGCGACACAGAGGGAGAACATGAACTATGAGAGTATCTCCTGGTTACATTCTGTACTTTCAGGAGAAAATATATCACATTCTCCTATTCCCTGATGGCCTGCCTTGATTCTCTTTCCTCCTCTCACCGTCTTTCCCTCACACACATGCACACATACAGTCTCTCTCTCGTAACCCTAAACTTAAACTGACAGGTGCAACTAAATTAACTCTAATAGTGATACACTTTCTGGCTCACTGGCCATCAATCAAGTCTAAATGTTATGAGCACCCATTAAGTGTGTATATTTAAGCCTCTATGAGAGGCTACTTGTTCATGCAGAAGCCCCTCATGAGACAGATACCAGCCAACTGTTGCTCATATTGCATCCCGCTGTGTTGCTTCCTCTGCAAAAGCACACAAGTATGCAGTCATAAAAATACACAATCTAGATCAAAGTCCAATAAAGCCCACAGCACACACACAAGCACAAATTGTTAAAACACACTCACAGACCAGGTAGACCACACAGAGTGGTATGAGTTTCCCTTAGTGATACTGTTACCCTTTGTGAGTCCCGGACCCCTCCCCGCTCTCCCTGTTCACCCAGCAAATATAGGACTTAAAGATGCCATCCATTGTTGCTGCACCCCCCAAACATCATCCTTCAATAGTAGTTAGCAGGTTTATTGTCAGAATTGTGATATGCAGCTGGAGAAGACATAGGCAACAAAGCAACAAACCATTTTTAAATGTTACCTAAAATGCATTACTGCAGTAGCACTCCACTCCCAGAAGCCCGTGGATTTTCACTGTAGCTGTATAAATTAGAAATTGGCTAGTTTAAACCTGATAGCAGGGGAATGCAACACAGGAATGAAGAAAAACCTCTATACTAACTTTACCGTCCCCTAATGAGACATTAGGCTTCATAAAACACCATACTCATAAGGTGGAGCTAATGTATTGTGGGGTTCTGAGTATTAGTATCATAAAATAAAGTAGCTCCACAGGACTCAAAGCAAGTCATACAGACCAAATTAAAATCAGGGTATTTAGTTTTTTTGCATTGCTACACATACAAACACTGCACTTTATGTGCAAGCTAACAGAAGAAATCATTCTAAGCGTCTGGGATGTAGGTTAATCATGGATATCTAAATTTATCTAGATTATTGTCAAACTGTTATTGCACACACTTCTCTTATGCTGACAGTCTTGACTAACGACATTAAGCAATATTTATTTATTTTTTTCCACAGCTTAAAAGCGTGTGGTTTCGATATGTGACATCCCATCACCCTGGACACATCTTCCCTTAATGCACTGGAAACACCAATGCACCGGAATGCACTTTAGTGGAAACAGAGACGACCTCACCGCATCCCGGATGAGCTCATTCATGTGCCCTGGTCTCGCCAAATACAACTATAGGGTCACTGTTGCTTATTAAAAAAAACAACAAACTCAAAATAGCTTTTTTACCTCCTGGAACAACACGAAATCGAGCTTTGTGGTAGATCCGCCCTGAACAACACTGCTGATAATGTGTTATGTTACCTACCTTAAGCCGACTGCCGCTTCACAGGACTAATTCCGCAGACATGTCGCTTGG